ACATAAAGATATGCATACATCCTTGTATATTTTCTCTTTCTTTTTCGTCTTTTTCATCTTTTTCAAGTCTCTCATTGTAATTTGATAACTGTAAGTTTACGTTACGTTACGGCAATCTGAAGAAGATCTGAAAAAGCTTTGTTTGCGTATGCCTTCTTCACTTGGTAGTATACACATATATTAAGATTTTTGAAGCAGGATTTTGTTGCTGAAAAATTTTTTTGTCGTTGAAAAAAAAAACACAAACACACTGTCCCCTTGAAATTTTTCGTTCCCTATTAAATTTCTGCAGTAAGCGTGTAAAATGAGATCATTATGTGTCGCTGGTCTATGCAAAAAGTGGAAGAAGGAAAAAATGATTGATTTCTCGAATTTTATTCTTATTTCTTTTTTTCTTGTACTTTTTTTCTATTGTTGCTCTTTTTTTACAGTTTTACTCCAACGATTTGTTTGTTGATTTAGTGACGTAGCAGTGGGTAATTAAAATTTGGAAAGGATAGGAAAAACTGCTGCCAGTGAAGAGTTGGTGCTGGTGCCGCTCTTGATTCCCCTTGTCGTCTGTGATAATACTCATTTGAAAGATTTAGTTTATTGTCTGAAGAAAATGGGGAAATCAGTCAATGTTTTAATGTCACCTAGTTTAGATATATAATTCGTGTAACAAATTGAATTTTCTAGCATGAGCTTTATAGGAAAGATTCGACAGTTCAAGATGTTAGTTTCCGTAACCGTGTTTATGAAATCAGTCTAGTTTTTTGTTGTTATTGAAGAAAGTATCGTTAAAACAATAGATTTTTGTGGCTCTTTGTCGACTTCTTTTTATTTTTTTTTCGGCTTAGAAAATCTCATTTAAATAAGCTGTATAATCTAAATTTTTAAGTAGATTCTGTACAACTGGACAGAAAGCTGTTTGTTCTTTTGAGGTATCAGTTTGCCAGCAGTCCAAAATCTTGTAGTAGCCGACATTAGTGCTTTGGTCATAATATCTCTATCGGACCATCTTGCGCTTTTGTTATCAGTTTGTCAATTCTATTTATGTATCTGCTTGTGTCTGTGGTTGTTCTTCAGATTTTATGTTCATATTAATTCCAGATTGAGACCATCATAGTTTGACAGAGAAGTTGGCTTTTGTTTTCTTTGTAGTTTCTTGACTGCATAGCTGAGGGGCAGTGGTGGTCATTTAGGCGCTTTACTGAAAAGGTTTATGTGTTGTTTATTAATTTGGAGGTCAACCCTTGAGATTTATTTAGAAAGGGTAACAAAATTATAATTGAAGTAACTTTTGGAACAAGAAAGGAAAAAGTAATTTTCAAAGACCAGCAGCAGTGTTTCTTACTTTTACTTTTTTTCTGCTTTTTTGTAGTGCTTGTTTTATGAATACGTAATATGTTTTTATCACCACACTTCATGAGTGTACTGTAGATTCTTCTGTAGAACACTCGATAGGTAGAGGGGGGAGAAGAACGTCAAAAAAAAAAATTTAGCTACAATTAAATAATTAAATTTTTC